AAGCGCCTGGAATTGTAAAACTATTACACCTTGAAGAGGTGTTGATAATTTCAAAAACATTTTTAAAACTGAAAACAATAAAGGTAATCGTTCTTGGAAAGTTATCACTGGACTAAATCGTAGATGTTGGGTTTTCATGCAAGACATCGAACTCACTTTCCAGAAGCAGCGGTTTGTGATGTTTGAATCGATGAGGAAGTGAGATAACGAAGGGAGATGTAATTTGCCTCAAAGAACTGGGGATAGACATGCTGAATGTTAACGATCGTTACTTGTTTTAGCATTCCTTTTTAGAGCTTGTCTGACAGAAATCTATAAAAATAAAAATGTGGTTATGCTTGCACTCTACGAGGTTCATTGCGGGTATGTATGTAATTTGTCTAAACGAGGAATTGGGCAAACGACAAAAAATGGTATGTCTTTTCATTTGGTGCTCCATAGGATATCACGATAGCAAAAAGATTAGCTTAGAAAGTATCAAGATTGCCAAAAATCAAGCGGTCATAGAAAGAAGATGCTCGGACTTTATGCCTAAAGAGCCTGAGACACTTCCCACTGAAAATTTGGCTATAGGAGCTGCAAAATGGGTTCCGAATTTTCCAGACACTTGAGCGGAAGTTGACGAACTTCTCCGAGAACTGATGAAATGAGCCCGACAACAAAGCTCGACTATATGGAATCGATTGGAATCATGCCTTATCAAAAGCGCATATAATCAACAAAGTATTCTTCGAATTATTTAATTGCATCAAAATAAGCATTGTCAATTATAAGCGCCATAATCTGTTGTGTACATCTTGTGAATTCGATTTGTTTACACGCTTATTTTGTTTCTTCATTCTCTAAATAGTCACTAATGAAAGAGTGCACGATTTATGTGTAGTTACGTTGTAATGCAAGTTTGCGATAAACAAACGAAAAGGGTAGAGAGTGTTGAGAACGATCGTCAGCCTCATTCATTAAGTATGCAGTGAATAGCTAATATCTCAGACCAAGTTGTCCTCGGATTGGGCCAAGGAAGAAATATTCGGAGGTCTGTTCTGTTCAGTCTTTACAAGCGAATAGGCCTCTGAAGAACTTGAAACCGTTCAAACAAGCCACTAAGCAAATGTGTACGCCTTCAGAGCGAGTGGGTGCGATTGAGGCGGCGGCGGAACAGTTGAAGTGGTGAAGGACAAGGGTCAATAAAGTCAACATAAGTGTTGTACATATATGAATAGAATAAGTGTTGGAATTCTAATGCAACACGGGGAACGTATTAGCTTTTATGCAATGTATTTGCTGAGAATTTCACTGTAGTCCACTTATCTCCCAGGATTTCCAGGAAATTTCTATGGAAATACTATTGAAGTACGCCACTCACTTGCATGCACATGTCAGAATATTTCATGATGTCACATCAGTTGACCAGGTCGATATTCTTCTTCGACCTTTGTTTGCTAAGGCTGTGCAGCGTTGGAACGAGAACCGCTCAAAAATAAATTCATGGCCTGGCACACCATTCGGAAAGCACGTGTTGAATATGGGTAGACAATTAGATCATTCTGAGGCAAAATAGGCAGAGAAGGGATAGCCGGGGAGTCATGGGTATACGCGTAGGTAGTGTCTAACAAAGAGGCCCCATGGAAGCTTCCGAAAACTCTGGTGAAATCTGAACCATTGCGAAATATTGGGCGGATACTTTCCTCACGGCTTATCACTTAGAACTCCCAACCTTGAAGAAACCAAACCTCCAAAAAATGTAGTACCGGAAAGGCTGACAGCACATCACTTTCGCTATTATTTTGGCTCGATTGGTGACGTCAAAAACAAATGTGAAATAAGGTGACTGAAAAGGGAAAATCCATGCAAAACCGCTCGCAAAAGTGAGTAACCGTCAGCGATGCGCGAAAATTGCATTGATTATTGACGACCAGTTTGGAATCGACCGACAGAAAACGGAAAAGTGGAAGAATGGGCAGGTGGTTGGGGAGAATATACGAGTGTTATTCGTTCCTGACAACTAGTAGCAAAAAGAATTGAGAGGCAATTGACGAAAAATTCGCCGAACAAAGCCCAGTCCTCCTAAGCCAAACAGCACAACTGGTAGCCGATAAAGCCATGAATGGCGACCAGAGACGACAACAAAGCAGGGGCACCATAAAAACAGCGGCCACTTGTTTGGTATGCCGTTCGGTCTCCTGATGATTCTGTTTTGATCATTTGCACAAAACGACAATTATTACGAATTAGGTGTATGATATTTATCGTCAGAATTAATGAACGAAGAAATAATAGCCTTTAACCACAAGCGGTTAGTTGATACTAATGAAGCTATCACGAAACGTTTGAAAGATACCTCAGAGTTAGTGCCTCGACAACGCCCTGAATCCAAGAAATGAACGACGGTCACCGCCAAGCTTTTCAGAGCGCTAGCTGTAACGTCATAGTGTCTCAAATGGACGTGGGAAAGGGCAAACGTAGGCGATTTTGTTGACGGTAACGTGGGGGAGTTGCAAGAGGAGCCACTACTACACTTATGACCCACGGAATCAAGAGTGTAAAGGGAAAGCCAGAGCCCCTTCACTCGACGACTTCCCTTTAGAGACGTTTTCTAGAAAAGAAACAAACCTCATATCACTAGGACTACAACAAGTAATGCGTGACTTTGAGGCAAATATTAGTTCCCGAAATCGTAATCGTCGATGAGGCGTGTCCGGGGACAAAGAACATCGTAGCGGAAATTTTCTTTCCACAAACTTCTCCGAAACACAACTCAATTTTAGCGAACCATTCTCAGCATGTATTGTAACCAAGTTCAAAGTAAAAACTACAAAACATGGAGTAATCCATCACAAAGGGCTACAAAAAATTTTGGTAGTCATCAAAAACACGTCATTCACTCCACATCCATATCTTGCACATTTAAAGCAGTGTAGTTGAAAAAATTGCTCAATTTGAAGATGTTTGGAATGTAAACGATTCTTCGTCCCAGTCTGCCCCTTTCCGAGAAAAGAGAAAGTTGAATAAACATAACGTGGAGCGAAATACAATTCCAATATCGATCGATCTCGATTGGGATCAATAAGAAGTTTAGAAAGTGAGGCAAATGCTGCCCAAGTCACCGTGATGGGTAAGTCAAGCCACTACGTTTCAAAACATCAATGCACATTCAAAATGAAACTCTTCCGAGACCCTCAGAAGGTCTACGTTTCAAAATCGACAAGAATATAGGTTGGTAATATGTTGAAGGACCATGCGAACAAATGATAACAACGAAGGAAACACCTTTACATTCGCGAAGATTGATAGCGAGAAACTTGCGAGAAACCGATCTCTTTGCAATAAGGTCAAGGGTTCTCTCCTTTGAAGATTATCTCAATCACCAGCCATGATTAAGAAGCAACTCAATGCGTAAAAGGACCGTGAAGTGTAGGGGAAATCGCCATTATCAAGAGCCAGGGAGTGGGAGAGAAATTGACCGCGTCGGGCATCGCGCCATCGCGGAGGGGCGAATTACGACCCTCGTAAACGTCACTGGACACTAAAGATATCGAAGCGATAAGCGGGGATCATGAAGACAGGACAAGATCTGCCACCAGTGTTCAGAAGGGCTCGTGAATACGTCGTCAACCAAACAGACTCGACACCCTAAATTTGTTTGACTTGACGTCTGAAAGCTTGTGAGCAGAAGGGACACTTTAAAATTGAATTCCCGTCTTCGAATCCACCAAAAACAGCTGTTCGGAAAGCTCAAGCTCGCATGGCCTCACAGGCCAATAAAAGCTAGTTTTCCCAACAACATATGACGACGTGCTGAGCCTCGGTAAAGGCAGCCAAGCGAAAACATGGCACTGCATAAAACGAGCTCATTTGTAGGCAATTGACATGAAATAAGCATGGATATGGGCATCATGCAAGAATCGCTGGATTGCTGTGACGAGGACAGGAACGACGGGAATGAGATTTGCTGCAAATTACCGATCTAACAAATGAGTAATGCATATTGAAGTGAGCACCAGTGATGGGACAAACAGTCATATCTTATCAAATGAACATGCAAAATCCAAAAAAAAAGTAGATAACAACCATAAAAAATGACGAGAAGCGATGCTGTTTCGCTAAAAACATGGCCTCAGTATTGGAATAACCTTCGGTCAATCGAATTCTGACATAAACATCATTAAATAAAGCTGTCTATCAATGGGAAACGCACAACCCAGTTACCAACTATTGAAAAAGCTTCAATGACGAAAAATGATAGGACCCACCAAACACACGTCAAGATTACTTCTTCGTTTATTTATTTATTCATCGCACTGTTATTGCTTAGAAAGTGTGATGAAGAACATCATATACTGCTACAGTATTTACATAAAAAAGAAAAACCTCAGAATATGACCAGGAAAATGGTAAGACTTTGCCCACACATTCGGTTTATCAACTTGATTTGTCTGTTCACTTATTTATTTAGCAGTTTGTCTCCCATAAAGCGCATGAAGACAACATTGTTTAAACAATAACAACAAATAAGATGACCGTCAGTGTTGTCCAATGACCCGCCAATTCCAGAATTTCATGAAGGTCATCATGGAGAGTGTGCCTTTCTGAGGATTCTTCCGGATATAATACGGAAATCTCGCCTAGAGAATTTTGTCATTCTGCACTTGGTCTACTATTATTGGGGAAAACTTATTTGAAGCTAAACTTCCCCACGACACCATTAGCGAATAGGTTGCTCTCAAAGAGGGACATCTATGCGGAGTAAAAACAGCGTCGACAACATAAAGTCATAACATCGTGCAAAAGAAAAGAAAAAGGAATTCAGCTAACTTAGCATTCAATCGACATAACATCGTGGACCTTCCTCCGAGTTCCTCCTGGAACCAAGTTCCTTACAACTGCAGAAATACACGACGATTGTCATCGGTCACGTCTTTTTCGAAACAGTCTTAAGATTCTTATAAAAAAGTGAGCCAGGTTGTATGAGTCAGAACCATAGCCATCAGACTGTAGGAAGGATGAAGACAATCTTCCAGAATGGAATCCTGGGAGGCGGAGAAAGAGCATTTCCCGAACTGTTGTGGGACGAGTACCGCACCACTGTCAAGATGCTCTCAGTATGGCGATCGATGTGCTCCTGTTTTGTGCGAGTCGCTGGGCCAGCCTTCGTCGTCGTTGCAACAGCTGCTAATTACGCCTCCAACTCCGTACCGACCTTGATGAGAACATGCATCGCAAGCCGCGAACTTGGAGAACGAAGTGGTAACAAAGCCATCCATGTTATCTAAAGATGGAACTGCAAATGCATAATACGATGACTGGCTGATGAGGCTTTTCGCATGGAAAGGGATAGCCAAAGTCTTGAGAACAATGTCCATGTTATGGGAGAACTCGCATGCTGAACTAGCCATCTCCGTTCCCATAACGCCAGTCCGCGTACTAATTAGGGATCCTCATCCAAGGATTCATCTATGCAATTATATCTGCCCCATGACAGCGAACAAATAACGGAGTGCAGGGTATTTTACGTCTCATGCGGCGAAAGCGAACCCTTCCAGGGGTCTCTGTGACGCCCTACATAGAGCAACCGTTCGAGAAAAGCATTTCGACAACATGTCTTCAATCGACTTCTGCGTTCAAAAGTTCTAGTGAATATCTATTAAGACACCAGACCCAATGATAGAGAAATATCATGTCTGATAACGGCCACCTGAACAATGGTTCGGGAGGTAACCAAGCAAAATCTGCGGGGTTGTGTACTTGAAATCAAGTTACAGTGAGATTTAGAACCTTTTGCAGGGACTAAACCTTCTTAGAAGTAGATGCGGAGAATCACGTCAACAATTACTTCAAATGAGGCAGAGCTGATTAGCTACTGTAAGAAAAGTATTGATAGACTGCTGGAAAGGAACTATTATGCCTCATCATCCAAAAATGTGCAGACATCAAAGACGTGGCAGAGAGATTGGGGCGCTTAATGGCCAGCTTCTTTTTGGTTGCAAGCCAAATGCATGCCAAAATTAGTCCACATTGAGGTCCAACAACCAAGATTAGCCGAGAAGTCGTTTTTTAATATGTGCAACAATTCAAAACCCAAAACGAAAGGTCGAGGCCCACGCAGTGTCTACCCTGCACACGAAAAGTAGATGGGTGAGACCAACTACAGGTGGAGAATAGAAGTTAGGATACTGCAAAATTTACCTTATAGAATGGCATACATATTGCAACCGTTAGTCGGATTGAGGTGAAGGACTCAGGTGTTCAAAAAGGCGCATGTTTAGATGCCTTGTCTAATTACAGAGGCAGAGTTCAGAGCAAACAGAGCCCGAATCAGCGACCTTCTCAGCTACCGACGTTACTCATATTGCCGAAACTGACACAGGCTAAAAACGGAACCTGAATTATTCTGTACGTCGAGCAATTGATGAATATTCAAAGAAAAACCGTCAGAAATAATCAATGAGGATACTGCGTTTGATCATAATAGCCATGAGTTTTCAAAGTATTGTCTCTTAGCAGCGCGGTATGAAAAAAACCATGGTCGCTACTCAAATGCATCATCAGATCAAACATTCGATCATAGACAGGATGACAATTCTTCTGTGCAAGGAGGCTCGCTTACAACAACTTTACGACACACAGCTCATACCTGGGCAGAATTCCGGTGAAAAAATATCAAGCCACGAGTTCGGTCGCTATGATCGAGGTAAAACTACTTTGATTTGAACGGGTGTAAAAACATAAAATTTGGCTGACAGCTACATCCGGCGGCCCTACCGGTCTAATGAATAGCGGCTCTATGCAAATTGGATTCGCGATGGACGAAATTGCCTACGTCGGTGTGCCCGAAAACAGCTGCAGCTGTCTTTTGAGCAGATCCGGGATCAAATATCCTTCCTTAAGGCTGACATTGACTTATTCGCATTGACAGATGTGTAACTACTCAGTGAAAAAACATCGCTCAATACTCTACGAGATGCGGCACGTGTGATGCGACTGCAGTGACTTGAACAAGTGGGAGTGAGCTGTAATATGTAGGTTGCGGAATCCAGGGAACAGACACACTTATAAAATGTATGAATTATTAATGAGCAATAAGTCAAGGTAAACGAAAGAGGGTAAATTGAGGAGTAAGTCTGCAGACTTTGTGAAAACTGCCCCCCTATCCACTACAAAGTTTAAGCTATTCTTCATTATCAAGCGACCGCCATAGATCGACATCACGTAGAGGTATCAGATCGTCCGAAATGGTTGTGAAGGAATCTGTGTCGGGAGGGGGGGGGGGGGGGGCTAAGTCACTGCTATTGAATGAGTAGCAAAATGGAAAAACCAGTAACCATCAAGACATCGCCCCTGTGAGCGGGTGGTTGATGGTTATCAATAAGAGCATCAGTAGCCAAGCGTGTAAAACTAAAAACGAGATGGTTTCGCTACGTTGTCTGCAACGTCTTCGCCATTCATCAGTGATTAAACGACACTCTCATTGCACCCTGCGCTTATTTATTGCTTCCGGTCGGCACCACTTAGAACACGGCACAAGGTTGAACATTAGATGGTCAGGGACTCTCATAAAACTACCATTGGAGAGCGAATCGACCATAATGAGAAGTGAACTCTAAATAGGATCGGCGGGATAGCCGCAGCTATTCTGAAAGCATCATAATGGATAGTGAAGCTGGCAGTTAATTGCTGTAAAATGGCATACCATCAGATGGACGGCGCTCCTAGAAGTCTGAACAGCCTTACATCTATCCCAAACTATCTACAAAACATCCAATGCGAAATCACAGAACATAGCCTCAGTTTTTTTGGAGCTGCATTTTACGATTTCATAAATTTCTAGAGTACGAGCATTGGAATTTCACAGTACATCTTGAATATTAAAGATTTATCACTGAGTTGAATGGATGCAGGAATCCTACTGTTCAGGGATTATCGCGTGTTAACATCGGCAATTGGTCCTGAATGGAATATCACAGCCAAAAACCAGCTGAATACAGAAGACTTCTCAGAGAATTTTCAATCATCCTCTAAAAAAAACGAGTTCCCGGATGCTGTAGCGCTTCCCAGTCAGACCAACAGCGCATAATACTTCTGCTGGGTACACCGAAATGTTTGGAGAAGGCTCATGGGAGGAAGTGATGGTTTAGCTTTCGACACGATATCTGACGTACCTGCACCTTACGGGAAGATGAACCAGATACCCATTAATTTGCGGAAGGGAATGCTCAGGAATATGATTACGAGCTATTTCATGAATAATTATAGAGTTGGTCCGTTGCAAAAACTATAATAGAATTAGGTTGATTGAGTCTAGAAGCAGTGACAGGACCAACTGTTTCCAAGCTTTTAAAACTTTGAGATTGAGAACATTTAGACGACTAAATCGCCTACGTGAAAAGAGTAGATAAATGTTGTCGGGATGAGTAAAACTAGAAGTTACCAAAGCGCGAGGTCCCGCACGCAAACGGTGAAAATGGTTTAATTTTCGAGTGGCACATAGCCCACTCTTATACAACGCCCACGCCCTCCATACTTCATTTTTATATAACGACACACTTACTGTATACAAACATTTGTATAGCTTTGAGAGCGGAGGTGGTGTAGTGACTTGTAGAGCACCAAGACACACACACGACCTGGGATCGACTTCCGAATCGATGCTAGTGGAGGCCAACCAAGCCTTCCATCCTTCCAGGGTCGGCTAATTGGTTCTCAGTGTGGGAGGTTGAAACCATTGAACTGTAGATCGACTTGCACAGCAACTCATTGGGTAGGCTACATACGCATTCAACTCATTTGTTACTCACGCCACTACGGTTCTGAGTGGAAGTAGTATGTGGGGGTGCATCCCAAAGAAGGAATGATCAAAGCAGACTTTATTCTCTATGCATACATAATTACTTAGAACAATTGGGTTTGGTAATGACCGTTTTTCTAATGAGTTTAGCTCCTTAGTTTTGACTTCTCATAAATATGACGGGTGCTGGGAAAAAAGAGGGCGCTCCATCCCCTTTTTGTTTAGCCCGCGTTGAGAAATGGATCGAATTCGTTGCACGCCGAGCTTGGTGTCCTTTCTAAGTCACACGTGCCCATTGTTGATAAAAGATAGATTTCGTCAAGAATATAAAACGCTGGATTGGGTCGCTCAATCACCTCCTGCAAGGTACTTTCGCCGAAGTGCGTACGCTGCTAGATGTTTTTTCTACTGTGGGAGTTGACGATACGACGGGCGTTCCGAAGGAAACAGATCAATGTCTGGGCTTTATATTGCTAAGCTTATTATGAGAAGGAAGCAATCAAGGGTCTAGAAGTACGACTTGAAGGATCTCCAAAAACCACAAAGTTGAATCGATAAATGAGAAGTAAAATAAACTGAGATCACAGCAAAGTGCGACGTCTGAAAAGTGAGTTCGACAAATATAAGCGCAAAAATTTCGAGACCCAGAGGAAAAGTTCAGGACAGTAACAAGGTCCCATCAAGTGGCAGCACCCATTTACTGTCAAAGTAAAATAATCTTTTCAAGGGAGAATTTCAATGGGCTCGGCAAAGGACCACCAGTGAGACGATTCGGAAAGGTTGTCGGAGCTTGACTCTATCAATACGCAAACTATCGAAGACGCGTTCACATGTCTCTACTTTCATAAGTATACTACAAGTTCAATGATTGTACTGCGAAAGAAATGATGAAGATTTTAGATTGCACATCCGTGGGATTAGATCCCGCTAGACTGTCTGAGTGATCCACAGCTCCAGAACCGGGAACTGATGGAGACCTTTCTGAAGCAGCACAAAGACTTATTCTTTCAAGGAACTTGTTAATTTATTGCTAAGGTTAAATATAGGCGTACTTGGTCTTTTTGTGCGTGTCACTTCCTCAAATCCTGAATCGAATGCATACATAGTGTTTTCCAAACCAAGAGAGCTAATGACTTAGCCAGAGGAAATTTGAGCGAAAACAATGACAACAACCCTACGAAGCATTCAAAAACACTGACCTGAAAGAGGTTTTTCTCGACTTTACGTAGCATATATCTGATCTCTGAAAGGAACCCCCTAAAAAAGTGGCAGACTGAAACGACTCGTCATTCTAAAGAGTCAAAGTGAATTAATGGTTCTTGTGGACATAGCACATAATTGGCTCTATGGTTATTATTCGTGAAAGGCTTTCTGACAACTCATTAAGTTATTTACGTGTGCTGGGAAGCGGACAACTACGGACGCGACAGACGGTGATAGGAGGGGAGGGGCCGAGAGGCTGTTTATGTAAAGCATCGTCGATCAGCC